CGAGTCCCGTCTAGGGCGAAAATTTTGTTCACAACCCAGCATTCTTGTGAGACCTTTGCGTACAATGTGCCGCTAGATGATGAATGCCGTACCTTCGCAATTCTGAGCTGCCATGTAGATTGACGGAGAAGTTGTTTATTTACTGATTTATGATGCTCGGTTACATTTTAGTTTTTGAAATTCGACGGTAATAACAAAAGTGATTTATTAGTTCTTTCGGTAATTCTGCGAGGGATAGAACGGTTCCACCGTGCAGTCCAAGGCAAGGATATATGTTCGATAAGGCAAAGTGCTGAGAAGGTCCCGCGTTTTCTTTTTCAACCCCACGTCAGAGGAAGCTTTATGAATGGAAAGGCCATTGCAGGATATTGAGCAAAGCTGCAGCATTTTATCCACTTTTTCAGACTCATTGCTTTGGCTTGCCACATATCCCATTCATTTTCCATAAATTAAATTTGAAGAACAAATCCCGAATTCACTTTTTAGGTCTTGGGCCTTACTTAACACTATCGTTTTCAGCCCCTGTTCTAAACGCATACTACTTGTGCCCTTGACAAAAACACCTGTAAAAGGGAGGGTAACCTGAAACGACCAAAGCCCACACAATGGCTCCCTCTCAATTTGAATAAATTTTATTGTTCGATGCACAATTACTATGGTCCTGTAAAACCAAATTCGAGATTCCTTCCCGTCAAGGAAACATGTTTTATCCATTCAATGAGCTCCCTACAGTGAACATTAGCGAATGTTTACTATTGGGTTGATGCATAATTATTGCGGCTTTTTCCAACAGATTTTATTCAGCGAAAACGACAAAATTATTCAACAAAAACATGTTTAAATAATAACCCCGGAGCGTGGTCACCATCCCACAAGAATGCTTCCCATTTGCTTTTCTCTCGGTGATTCCACGGATAAAAAAGTCACGATTCTCGGAGACGATCCACGCTCTAACACTGGCCACCAACGCATCCAGCTCATCCTAAAATTTGTTCGTTTGCCAGTTTTTCAACGTCTGATTGAATTGCTAGTCTGTAGGAGCTCCGCTCGGTAGATGTGGCGTTTTAAACTTCTTGAACGATCCTTCGTCTTGGGTTTTGCTAATTGCTCCCTCGCTGAGAAGTTTGATGAGATCGCGGAATGGCCCCGCCGCCTTCTAACATTTATAGAAGTAGTAAGAAAGAGAAAGACTTCTCGAGAAAAGAACGCACGAAAAAAATACCGCAATAATTATGCATCAACCTAATAGTCTGGCCCAGTGGCTTTCATGTTCTT